CCCATTAAAGATCTTAAGTCATTGTATTGTTAATGAGACAGTAGTCTGTGAAAAATACAAAAGCTTACCCTTTTATATAAAAGGACAAAGGAAGAATGTTTTACCACTGTCTTTTCTTTTCCCTCCGGGCCTTTCAAGAGGAATGTGGGAGCCAGAGAGCCCCCTTTGTCTGCCTTCATTAAAATGAAGCACAGACAGCTGCAGCTGGCACAGACCAGAGGCCGCGGCAAGTGGCGTCGCTGGCATCCTGCATTCACAGTGGAATTTGGATGGCATTTGGGCCCAGAGTAAGCAGTGATGGGACATCAGGACATGTCCAGTGATGGATGCAAACTTTCTTCACCCATTATATTTAGCTATAGGGTATAATCACCTTAAAATGTAATCAAAGATCCTTCGCAAAGTTTCCCTCTCACAGAAGGAACTACAAGCCTCATGTCAGCCATTCAGACAAGCCTTTCCTGGGCCTCCTGATAAAGGGGCATTGTTTGCAGGGAGTCTTCTGCTCTCTTCCTGCTTTTCTGTTAATGATTTACTTAACAGCCGGAAGTAAAGAGGATGGAATAAAATTGTAAATAGTATGTCTGACATCCTCTTTTACTTCATCCTTGAAGAAAAACCCACAATATAGAGATGACAATTTATATGGAAAAATATGTTTATTACAAGTTGTTGTATGTTTTCCTCATCCAATCTGGAATCTGTGCCCAGCAATGACCTTGGACATTTTACAGTTCACGTCAGGATACTTGATCTTTTGTGATCCTCATCTCTGACCCCAATAAAACAGAAGGACAGGTGATGGTATGGGTCTTTTATTATCAAGGAAACAGATAATTGACCCACTTTCGGTTAACTCCAGGATTCTGAACTAGACGAGGTTTCAAGAGCTACTTAATATGATAAACAAGAAATGACTGATTTAACTGTATTACATGTCACAAAGTCTAAATTTTAGAGCTCTTTTAGTGGGCTGCGATAATTATTTTGCTTTGGTCAGATTTTGTAAATTAGGTAAGTAGAGCTGGGGCTTTGTCACACGGCATTCATGATAACATTTTTTACCCTGTGGACTTTCTTTCATGGATCAGTTTATTGAACTCATCTCGGTGAATTGAGTGCATGAGAGAAGGAACAAAAACAACCTCTCCACAATCCTGTTCCTTGTGAAAGCTTGGGAGACTCCTTTCCAAAGGCCATGGATATAGGAGTTTCAAAAGGAATACAAGTAAATTTGTAGGCTGTGAGAAGCAACACAAAAGGTGTCTGGCCAAATGCGACTGTAGGAAGGATACAGGGAAGGTCAGACACCAGCTGAGGTCTCTTGGCTTCTTCTGAGCGAGCAGGAAGACCCCGTCAGTGATGCAGACCTCGTGGGCTCTCCATTCCATTCCCATCCCCAGTCCTGCACTGTTTCAAAGCCCACTTTCCACTTTCTCAGTACATCTCTATCTTTTCTAGCAAACGCCTGCTATTCAATGAAGAGTCCAGCTTTGCCGTATCTTTGACCTTTGTGCAATTAAGTTGAAGCCTACTGTGCCTAATTAATTGCATGAGAGGCAGGGCAAGGTGTTTATCACAGTTAAGTCTTGTGTAGGGAACTGTAGATGCATCATTTCATGCTATGCACAGAGAACTTGGGGGTTATGAAAGGACTGCATTTAAGTATTTATGTTAAAAGAGTCTCTTCTCAACCCAGTCTCCTTTCTCCCTGTGGGTCAGAGGTGTTCTGTGTAGAGCACTCTACCCCAGCGCATCGCACGCTGCGTGTTTGTTTTCTGCTCTGTCTGCTCCTTTACACCGAGGGCTGTGAGGAGCAAGAAATCCTGTTTTGCTCCCTTTGCAACCTCAGACTGGCACAGGGCCCCTGCCCAGGCAGGCGCTCAGTGAACGTGGAAGAAAGGAGTGGCCGGTGGAGTCTTAGAAGTTGATATGCCCAGGTCGACATTAGTGCAGCCCTGTGTATTCTATCACTTTGTTTGGGCAAAGGGGGAAAAACATCTATGAACTGGGTGTGGGGTGGATTGTGACTTCATGTTGATTGTTTCATAATGTCCCTGGAGAAAAGAGCTGTCTGGAGTGAGCCCTGGACTTGCTACCTAAATTTAATAATGGGTAGGTCTCTGCCCTAGTTTTTTTCTTCTTAGAATCCCATCTCATATCAAGTGTGACTCCTCCCTGCTTTAGAGATGCAGTGCTGGCTGATGGGAGGAAGTGCCTTGGCAGGGGCTCTTGGAAGCCCCCGGGGAAGTCGTGCGGTTTTGACAGCATCTGACTCAATTGAAGCCATTTCAAGAAGGGGCTCCTTTCAGCGAGGGCAACAAGGAGTGTCTTGTTCTGTCCTCTGGAGTCCCTGTGAGGGGCCGCCGTGTCTAAGGGATGTCATTAGCATCCAGGCAGCATGCCACAGGAGTGAAAGATTTCATCTGGACTTCTGGAAACTGGCTGCAGGGCGAGGCCACCACTGAAACTGGCCCCTCGATGCCAGAGAAGGGCCAGGCTTGGGAAATCTTACATGAAGGACTGCAGGCAGCAGTGAGGCCCCCATGGAGACGCGTGGTTAAGTCAAAGATGAGTGAGTCGGACTTGTTTGGGTATAGACAGCCACAAACGGGTCGTCTTAGATTTCTCTTGGTGAACAGCTCTTTCACCCATAAGAGGATTTTTCTTCATTTCCAGTTGCCTTTATACTTTGCAAATTCCAGTTGAACCTGAGTTAAAAAATAGATCTTACCCAACAAAGAGATGCTGTCGAATATTTAAGTATTTGCTTGGGATTATTTTAAAGGAAGCTGTGCGTAACTTGTCCCTGATAAAACCATCCTAATGCCCTTTGTTCTGCGCTAGGGAGAGACAAAGTTTTTAAAGGCAAGACTGTCATCCGTTCCTGTGTAAATTGTGTGCATGAGTCCTTGCCTCCCCGGCGCACCCGGGCTCAGCCTCATTTTCTTCTTTTAAAGAAGTCTGTTTTTCAGCACACTGCAGTTTCCACGCCTCCTGCCTCCCCTCATTATTTTATAAGCACCTGCTGGGGGACACCACCTCTCGGCTCCCAGACGGCTTGGCTTTATTATGTTCTGACTGCACCACTTGGCTGTTTGACTGTGAGTAGGCGCTTACCATTCCAGACTTCACCTTTGTCCTCTGGAAACACGGAAATTCTAATGGTACTATCTTCTTCCCAGATTGTTAGAAAGATTGGATTAGAGGATACTTGCAAAACACAAAAGCACCATACCTGGCACGTTAAGTGCTCCATAAAATGGTTAAGAACAAGACCTAATTTCTGTCCTCTCGGGAGTTAGGGCCTGGTAAGAGGCGCTGGCGGTAATGCAGTGAACCTTGCAGATACAAGCTGCCCGCCTGCACGAGGCTTACTGTTGGCCTGGAGTGTGGCAGAGCTGTGCAGAGGGCTGTGTGGGAACGGGTGTGTCAGAGTGGGAGGGGGCGGAAGTGTGGGCTCACGCATCGGAGGAGGCGCCTGGAGGAGGCGAGGCTTGTATTTTCAGTGTGAAATGGATGTGTGGAACCAAAGAAGCCAGATACAAAAGTGGACACACTGTAGGATTCCATTTTCAGCAACTCATCGATGCTGATGGAAATCAGAGCAGTCGTTACCTTTGTGGGAGGCTATGATTGGAAAGAGTCACAAGGGAACCTTTTGGCAAAAGGGAATCTCTTGACCTGGCAACGTGTACGTGGATATACCTAAGTAAACACTCAGTGCTGTATACACATAAGATCAGCGCGGTGTTTTAAACATGTGCTTCACTTGAAAAATTTTAAATACAGTAATGATGAGTGGGCATTGCTCAGTAAAAACAGGGAAGATCATATTTGAGAGTGTGAAGGGCAAATAGGGGTTATGGAACTGCATGACATGTTTCAGCGCTGTAACAAGGCTGCTGTGTTTCGATGAAAGGATAGAGATAGAGGGGGGTGATGGTGACAGTGGGAAGCATCTTTTAGGTGCTGGCTCTATGGAGAAAGAATTTTTTTCAAGTAGCGGGCATAGAGGCATCCCTTGGTAAGAAGGTAGAGTGGCCTAGTAGAAATTGACTTTGGTTGGAATTGCAGAGGTTGGAAATTCTGTGTAGTATTCTCATCCTTCTCACAGGCTTTTGGGAGGATTACATGAAATAATGGATATCAAATGCTTGTATCTGCCATGTAGTATGGATTTAATAAATGCATCGTAAGAGATTTCCAAGTATGCATGTGTTGTGTGTATGGTTCACTTAATTGCAATCCTAATATAGGACTTTCCAGATCAAAAACTGAGGGTGACTGCATTATGGAGTAGTGCTGGCTTACCTGAAACTTTCGATCCTTTAGTTAAATAATTGTTTTGTTTCATGTAACCATAGCTTATATTGTATAAAATGTCTTGGTTTCTTTTTTTTTTCCTTAAAGAATTATTTTTGGCTGTACTCATTAAACCATTTTAAGCATTTGAGAACAGTCTAAAAAAGGTCAAAGAATTTCTATTTCAATAAGGCTCATACTTGGCAATATTAATTGTATGGGGAACAAAACAACTTCAAATATGTCAAGTTTCTCATCTTTTCTGAAATAGTTTGTGTGGGGGCGGGGAGGAAGAGAGGGAGTGGAGAGAGACTAATTTACTAGGATTTTTAAAATAAAATTTACGTTTTTGAAATGTTAATCAGATTATAAGTCTACTAAACATCTTTTTGAGATTACAATGTGTTAGTGTAATCAGCTCTTTATTAAATGTTAAAGTGTCACGTAGGAAGTTCCACGTTATCAATAGCTAGCCAAATTCATTCGGCATCTTTTGACAATGACTAGTTTTCAGCCTACTTTAGCTTTCCCAGATTGTCATTTTTAAACTCTTACCCTTGTTTTGAAGGCCAGCCCCATAGCTCTATAGAGAATGCCTTCTCTGTTTTGGGGAAATGGCTTTTCATTCTAGAACATACTTCCTTCTGTGTCTAAACACCTTGAATCTCTCAACTGGATATGCCGTCTGTGTTTAGGAGTGATCGCGCCCGCTGGATCACCGCGCTGGGACACAGCAGCGGGAAGCTGCCTCGGGACCGAACCTGTAAGTACCTCCGGGAGGTCGGCTCTGGAACGCAGAAAGTGGGGGAGTTCTGCCCCCTGCTGGACGCTGGGGGCTTAATGGTTATCCACCACACACCTCCTGCTTTATAAAGTTTCCTCCAAGATTTCCTTCCTGCTGCCCTACATCAGAGCTGGGTGATCCCTGCTTTGGAAGTCAAGGGGTCTGAATTCAAATCCAAGGCGTAGTTCTTTGTTGTAAAAACGTGGTCAATTGTTGCATATCCTTCTTGAGCCTGTTTAATCTGCAAGTCCGGTGCACCGTTATATACAACACATGGCTGTTGTGAGGATGAAGTTAAATAATATACATGGAAAGCCCTGCTTGGACTGGAAAGCCCTGCTACCTGTTCATGGTCACTGGCTGCGTGTTTAAACCTTCTCCATACTGACAGTCTGACTCTAAGCTGAAACGCATTTTTAACCTTAAAGGAAATCACCACTTCCTTTGACCTTTTTTATTAACGTGACAGTATTCGCACAATGGATTTCATTCCTCCAGAGAATTTGGAGCTGGTGTCGTCCAGGGTGGTATCGTGTGATTACTGGCACCTTAACTTGGATGATATGCTTCTCTGGATGCGTCTAGCTGGAAGGTCAAATACAAAGAATTAGGGCAGCAAAACTCGTTATTCTGGAGCACTCAAAAATCATAGCTTTAAGCGTAGAGCCAAAGCTAAAGTGATTGGTGTGAAAGTTCCCTAGAATCAAGTTTTATATTAAAAAACAAATTAAGTAAGAAGTCATGTCAGTCAGTACCAAGTCCCTGAAGTTGTTTTATTACAATTTAGCATTTTGGGAAAACCTGAAATGTTTTCTAACTTTTGGTTCCAGATCTTTCTGTTTCTAAACTTGTTTGGCAGCTTCCATGTGCTGCTTCTGATGGGCTGGGGAAGCACCCTGGGTGAGAGCCGGGAGAACTGGATATGTTACGGATTTTACCATCAGTTGCATGCCCTTAGCACATTACCTAATCCGTCTTGCCTCAGTTTCCCTAGTGCACAGTGGCTGTTTTCTGCTCCATTATGACATGACTAATGACTCCTTATCAAGGCTATTCTTGAGGGGATTCATGCGTTATGTAAGGCCTCTTGATTCTGAGCTTCTGAAATTCTAAAGCTCTTGGCTAAGTAAGAAAGTTCTTGGAAAAGATTTTCTGCTTGATAGAAGCCTGACTTGTTTTGATCAATGCTAGCCCTGAATCGCACAGAAAGATTGAGTAAATGTACACTATTGATTTGTACCTGTTTTGTTTTTCCTTTGCTACTGGAAGCTCAATATGTTCCCTTTCTCCGCAGCACTAACCCAGGTGGAAATCATTAGATCATTTACTGCCAAGCAGCCAGATGAACTCTCCCTGCAGGTGGCAGACGTGGTCCTCATTTATCAACGTGTCAGTGATGGTGAGTGGAAGTGTATTGGGCGCTGGCGGTCCAGCATTCAAAGTGTGAAGAACCAGAGTCTCCTTTTTGTTATTAGCGTTCATTTTCCATATCCCTTCAGTTTTCTCATATGCACGTGCCTCTCCTCTATCTACACACACTATTGCTTTTACATGTTTTTGAGTAGGGATGCAGTCACATGGTTATTCGAAAGGAACCATGAAAAGTTTTCCTTACCAGCCTCCTCAGTGACCTAAGTCAGTCCTTCCTTCCTTCCTCCCTTCCCTTCCCTTCCCTTCCCTTCCCCAGGCTCACGTACTCTTGGCTGCCTCACTTCATGGCCTCTGATTATGTTCTGTCTCTGCTATGTCATCCATTCCCCCTCGAAACCTTGCCCTCTGTTCCACGTCTCTCTCTTCATCTTTCATTAGCTGTGGTACCCAGTATCCTCCTCAGAGCCGAGTACAGTCATGATGCACCCAAATGCTTCATAAGGACTCTCTTCTTCTTTGCAGGCTGGTATGAAGGGGAAAGACTGCGCGATGGAGAAAGGGGCTGGTTTCCTATGGAATGTGCCAAGGAGATAACCTGTCAAGCTACAATTGATAAGAACATGGAGCGAATGGGACGGTTGCTCGGACTGGAGACCAACGTGTAGCCTCTCTGACGGCCTTTTGTTACTGCAAGATTTGCACTACATCATGGTGGGCTGGTTGGTTCTGGGCTGGTTTTCTTGTTAATGTTAACACAGCCTATTGGATTAAAAGAAGGCAAACATTTGCCTTTAAGCTTGCCAGGGAGATATGTTCTCTCGGGAGAACAGCTACTGGATACATACAGTTAGTTCACAAAGCTCAGTTTGTATTCCACGACCCTCTTGCAAACCTCTAGAGGCAAACAGAATAGCCAGCCGACCATGTCAGGGAGCAGACGGCCTCAGCAGCTCCTAGCTGCACCGCGCCTGGCGTTAAAAAAAGCATAGAAGATGCTGTGTCCTGATTCTCCCTATCCTCACTTAACCAAGAGCGTACTATCCCTCTTTAAACATCTCCTGCATATGGTTCCCCTAGTATTAGCAAGGTTTTATATCTTTAAGGAATGCCCAGTTTTATAAATATTTTTCTGCCTTTTATAGATCTGATTATAATGCTGTTGATTTCAAAAGGAACTGATCGAGTTCTGAAAAGGAGCTAAGATTTTCTAAACCTCTTCCCAGGAAAGGGAAATGGACACTTGAATTTTTGCCACCTCTTTCCTCAATAGAAGGGAAGGAGCCTTAAAAACATTTAAAGAATAAATGAACATTTCACCCAGTATTGATCTTAGATAAATATAGTCTAATACAACCTAAGCTACTCTAACATAGAATTTAGATGGTTCACGTGTGTGAGAAAACCTTGAATATAGGAAAGGGGTCCAATATTTAAAAATAAGCCCAAAGGAGCTGATAAACTGACGTGAGGCTGCTTTGCCTTTAATAATGCAAGGTTTTTGACTATCCCTAGTCCCATTTCCAAACAGGAAATGGACCGAAACTCACTTTAACGGTCTCCAAGAAGATAAAATTAGGCTTTACAAGGTATCAGAAAGCCAGCATGGTACTTAATTGAAACATAACATGTTGACTTTAATGGGAGCCCGTTTTACTTGGTGCCGAAGGCCTCATTTGTTGGATTTGGAGTCTCTCTTTACTGCAAGTGTCTGCAGAGCTTTATTCCACTAGCGCAAGGAGAGAGAAAAGTCATTTTTAAAGTATGTTTCCTAAACAGGGAATGAGGGCTTGGAAGACTGAGAGGGAGTGAAGTGATTTTTACTGGCAGCTATGTTCCCTCTCTACTCGTCTCTTCCACAGAGGGACAAAACCTGGCTAAGGACGCATTATGCAAAACTCAGATCTTTGTGTGTCATGTCCAAGCTACTGTCTGACAACCAGTTACCCAGATTCAATCAAGTTGCAGAAGCCTAGTACGGAGGTAAATATGCTTGGCTCACACGCCCTGCATCCTGCCACCTCAACAGCGAGTCAAGGTGAGGCACCCTGGGCTTTCTCGCCCCTGGATCGCTCTTCCTTCCCTGTGCATTACATTTCTGGGTGCAAACTACGTGCGAGGCCCTGAGTTCCCTTAGGTCCCAGCCAGTCTGTCAATGAAGTCATAGCGGTGGGCCACAGCAAGAGGTGTCTCCCATCGGTCAATCAAGTCAGTTTCCTCTTTTGTGTCAGACTTGGTGGAGGAGAGGCTAACAAGTTGTAATCTAATTCAATGTGGTGTTTTTTTATTTAGGAAGGTAAGTAAATTTGTTGCTTTGCAAAGGGATCATTTTGTATTATTTTTGCTAACACCCAGTTGAAGCTAAAAAGCAACTATACGAATCCTGTGAATTAATTTATAAGTAGAGATGTTAAACGGTTGTGGAAACATGTGCATCTGCTAAATCAAAGCCTTATTTAGCAAGCAGGCTAATACTGTCATTAGATAAAGAATTGTTTGACGGCAGGCATTTAACACATTCACAATCGTTAAGGTCAATCGTGAATTGTCATTTTTACATGCCACAGTTTTCCAACTTAGTTCAGTTTCTTTGACTAGCTTCTCTGAATTGTACACTATCATTCAGTGACCTGTGGAGAAAAAAATACTCATTTTTGTCCCAGTGGATGGAGACTGTTAGTATACTTTTGGCAAAATATGTGAATTTATAAAGAGTTTGTATATACTTGTATTTTTGTGCTGATGTGATTTAATTTATGGCAGGATGTATTCATTTAAGTCTCTAGTTTGCTGAATTCTTGGCCACGTCAGAGTTCCACTCAAAAGATACCTGTAGCTAACATAGCGGGGAGCTGGCCTTTCCTCTTTGGGCACATGTTGGCATCCGCTGCCCGAGAAGGCGGGAGCCTTTTTAAGAGCTGAGCCATGCCGTTTCTTCTCATAGTTGCCACAAAACTGCATGACTGAATAGCATATCTTAAATTGTTCATAGTTCCCTAACTGCTCTTGACCCCTGCAGCGTATCTTATCATTCCTTTTGGCCACGCAGTATCTGAACCTTTGTGCTTGTGAAATTTCACCATCACCACCTTGTGAATCTTGGTGGAGGCAAAGAATGACTTCTCTATTTTCTTTTTTCTCATAGTTCTGTAGTCAGAAGTCCGAGTTTTCTGCTTAGTGTCTCACAGGCTGAAATCAAAGGGTTGGCTGGCTGCTTTCTGAACTGCAGCTTGGTGTCTTCTTTCCCGTCACACCTGCTAGTCACAGAACTCATTTCTTTGTGATTATAGGGCCGAGACCCCTGCTTCTTTGCTGGCCGCCAGTGGGGACGGGGTGATACAGCTTCCAGTTCCTGTTCACATTCCTCATCATGTGGCTTCTCCCATCTTTAAGGCAGCAGGAGCATGCTGAATCCTTCTCACTTGGAATATTTCTGACTTCTTATGCTACCAGCTGGGAAAAAAAAAAACCTCTGCTTTTAAAGAACTCACGTAATTGTATTAGATCCACAGGATCTTCTCAAAATCAACTGGTTTAGGGCCTTAATGAGATCTGCACAGTTCCTTTGCCATGCTATGTAACATAATCACAGATGCAACACCAAGGGAGCAGAGATCATGGGGTTAATCTTAGAATTCTGTCTGCTACACCTGACATAAAACTTTAAAATGCTAGATACTTAAGTTTCCCAGCATCCCTTGCAGTTAAAATACAGCCGTAATCCTAAGGTCCTGACAGAAGGAAATAAAACCTCATTCTGGAAGAAGCGAACATCATCTTAGTTCTCAATTACTTCCAAAAACAAATTCTCAAATGAAAGATTCAGCAAAAAGACTCAGACACAATAAAAAACTGATAAACTCACAGGGACCCTAGATATTGAAATCATTAGATAGAGGCAATAAAATAATAATAGCTATGTTTTTGGAGAGAAATAGCCACACTTTAAAATGCAATACAGGGCCAGCCGAGTGGCGCATTGGTTAAGAGCTGGCTTGGGACGCCAGAGGGCCCCAGTTCGGTTCCCACATATGAGGGTCAGTGACACTGCCCTCCACAGCTAAGATGCTGAACAACAGCTCAACCTGGAGCTGGGCTGCCATGAGTTGCCGGTGATGGCGTAGGCTGCAGCTCCTGCTGCAGTGGGTTGCCATGGGCTACCGTGTGTAGCCAGCAGCCAGCGTGAGCGGTCAGAGCTGCAGTGAGCCGGCGACTGATCTGCCTCGCCCGGGAAGAGCGCAATGATGGTGCCAACTTGGGCCAGCGAAGCAACGTCCTCCACAACTAGACTGAAGAACAAAAGGACAGCAACTTGTCTATTCCCCTTCCCCCAATTCCCCAGCGCTGTTCCCATCCCCCAATTCCCCCAATAAAAATCTTAAAAAAATAAATAAAATTCAATACAGAACTACCAACGACAAGAAGTGACAAATTAAAACTTGAAATTATGGAGCTGGGTTTTAACATCAGATTGTTAAAAGACATCAGTGAACTGGAAGACAGGCTGGAAGAAACCTGTAAGGAAGCGCGGAGATCCGGGGAATGCAAGAATCTAACTGGAGTCCCAGAGGAGGGAGAGGGAGCTTGGGCGAGGGGACTGTGCCTTTATAACCCTGCTCTGACCAGTCATAGGATGTAGACGGTCCCCAGAAAGAGGAAGTGGCCTTGGGTAAGGTGACTCCCTTCAGCTGAGGACAATTCCCAAAGAAGGCTGACGGGTGAAGCTGTCCTCTGGTGGCACTCCCAGTGCTAAGGGGGTAAGCCCATCAGTCCTGAGGGAAGCTCTGGGCAGAACATCACAACACTCACTACAGGTAGCTATGTCAATATTAGATAAAACAGTCTAAATAAAAGGTATGACTAGGGACAGTAAGCCTTCATAATGACAAACGGTCCGTTTAACCAGGTAGATACAATTCTAAATATATATTCTCCCAATAATATGATCTCAACATATATCGAGCAAAATTTGGCAGAAATATAAGGAACCCAAACTAGCATGAGACTTTAACACGCCTCTCTCACTTGGTTGGAAAATAAAGTGCAGAAGTAGATAAAAATCAATTAAAAGTGTAAAAGATTTGAACAACTATAATATGCATAATAGGACACTGCAGCAATTTCAGTATATACATTCTTTTCAAGCACACAGAATATTCACATTTCCGGGGTCATAAAACAAGTTTCAACAAGTTTTACAAGATTGAAGTTACATAGAGTGAGTTCTCTGGTTACACTGTAATTAAGTTAGAAATAAATATCAAAAATAAAATTAAATACCCATTTATTTGGAAACTTAGACCTAAAATGTGAAATGGAAAACTGTAAAACTCCTAGATGATAACATAGCAGAAAAGCAAGGTGATCTTGAGTTTTGGAAATGACTTAAACAAAACACCAAAAGCTTGATCAATGAAAGAAAAACTGGTAAGCTGAATTTCATTAAAAGGAGAAGAAAATCCACAGAGTAAAAACATATCCGATAAAGGATTAGCATCCAAAATATATTAAGAAGTCTTAAAACTCAACCATTTGAAAACCACCCAATTTACAAATGGGCAAAGATCTGGAAAACTCACCAGATATACAGATGGCAAATAAGCATATGAAAAGATGCTCAACAGCATACATTAAGGAATTGCACACGAAAACTACAATGAGATTTACCAGTACACACCTATTAAAATGGCTAAAATCCAAAACCCTGACAAATACTGGTGAGGATGTGAAGCAACAGGAACTCACCCTGGTGGGAATGCAAAAGCCACCGGGAAGAGTTTGGCAGTTTCTTACAGAACTAAATGCTTGTCATATGATGTGGCAACCACACAGCTTGGTATTTACCCAAATGAGTTGAAAATTATGTCCATGTAAAGATCTGCACACAAATGTTTATAGCCACTTTATTCATAATGGCCAAAGCTTGGATATTCAATTCAACAACCTGGATAAACTGGATGAATTCATTGAAAACCATAAACGACCAAAACCTTAAATAGACCTATAACTACTAAATATGAGGTCTGACAATTAAGTTCGTGAACTTGTTGCAACGATGTTGCTAACATTTCTTCATGTGAAAAAGTGAGGCGACCTGAACTTTTCGCCAACAATTCATGGCTCTTGCATTACAATGCACCAGCTCTCACACTGTCTGTGACGGAGTTTTTAGCCAGTAAGCAAATAACTATTGGAACACCCTCCCTACTCACCTGACCTGGCCCCCAGTGACTTCTTTACCTGAAGATAAAGGAAATATTGAGAGGAAGACATTTTGATGACATTCAGGACATCAAGGGCAATATAGCAACAGCTCTGATGGCCATTCCAGAAGAGTTCCAAAACTGCTTTGAAGAGTGGACTAGGCACTGGCGTCGGTGCAGAGCTTCCCAAGGGGGAGTATTTGAATGTGACCATAGTGATATTCAGCAATGAGGTATGTAGCACTATTTCTAGGAGTTCGCAAACTTAATTATCAGACCTTCTTATATTGAATTAATTTAAAAACTTCTCAAAAAGAAATAACCAGGTGAACATGGTTTCATTGAAGGCTTCCAAACATTTAAAGAATTAACAGCAATTTTATACAATGTCTTCCAGAAACTAGAAGAGGAAGGTGACACTTCCCTACTCATTTTAAGAGGCCAGCATTACCTCACAAAAAGTAAACTATAGATTGGTATCCCTCGTAAACAGAGCAGCAAAAATCTTAAACAAAATATTATATTCAGCAATATATAAAAGTAATTACTTCAGCCAAGTAGGGTTTGTTCCAAGAGTGCACGACTGATTCAATATTTGAAAATCAATCAATGCTATCTAACATTTTAACCGGTTTAAGAAGAAAAAAGAAAACATACAAGGTTATGTCAATTGATGGAAAAATATTTGGAAAAAGTTGAAATACTTGGGAAAACACTCAGCAAATTAGGGCTGAAGTTATCTTTGATATTTTACTGACCTTCAGCTATAGGAAAAACATGGTTTATACCATTTATTATTTTGTTATGAATGTATATTTGTCAAGTTAGGATGATAGAACATATTTCATCCAAGTCTATTAGATTGATTTAAACTTTAAAAATATTTAGACTTCTGGTATTTAGCCTCCATCTGTAGTCTTATTCCAGATCCCACAAAAATGTTTAACCATCTTTGCCTTAAAATAAAAAACAAACTAACAAAAAACTGGCCTCCAGGAGCAATTAAAAATAATCAAATGAGCCGAATGAGTGGCTCGTTGGTTAAGAGTTGGCTTGGGATTGCGAGCTCTGAGCGTCAGGGCCACCAGTTCAGTTCCCACAGTGACACAGTGGGCCAGTGACGCTGCACCCTCTACAGCTAAGATGGTGAACAACAACTTGACTTGGAGCTGGGCTGCCGTGAGTCGCAGGTGACGGCATAGCCTGCAGTGAGGCTGCAGTGGGTTGCCATGAGCTACCGTGAGTGGCCGGCAGCCAGCGAGAGCTGCCAGGAGCCACCGTGAGCAGCCGTCCAATGGCCGACGAGCGA